TTCCGCGATCATGGAGTATGCAATGCCGCTAGTCGACGACCTGTCAACAGATCTCGAGCGCTACCTATGGTTCTGCTCACTGGATGCAGCAAGCGGCTTCTGGGCGGTCATGATGACCTTGCGAGCGCGTAAAGTGTCAGTGTTCGTCTGCGCACTAGGACATTTTGAGCAAATGCTTTCATGTCTACTTTCGTTAAGTATATATACAGGAGCATTTCTTGGTGTCCAGTTCACAGCAACCTTTACAACGCCATGCCGTTGCCAAAGGCCGCAAAACTGTTTAGCCAGCTGATATTATGTCGGGGGCAGATCTCGCTTGTGAATGCAGCAACCCAGGCGGCCTTCATGAATGAAAGCTCATTTGTGATGTAGATTTGTTGCGGTAGGCTCAAAGCACAAGTTATTCCCAAATATAATGCTAACGCTGGAAAACTGAAATATTATCGAAAGCTCAATGCGTGTCACACCTTCTGCGTAGGGAAGCATTCTCTTCCGTTTCCAGTATTCTGCAATACTGGAAACGGAAGAAAATGCTTCCCTAAAATCCCGTTACAGCGATCGACCAAATCCCGTCGTATCTTAATTCAACTCTCACTCGAAATGGTTTTAAAAGTTCAATTTGGATCAATACGTTACCTAATCCAGCGCCAATGCCCATGGACATATCCACAGCTCAAATAGCTTTAATTACCTTTACTGCATCAATCATCGCAGGAACACAGCAGAGCAGTAGCTCACCAACATTCAAATTATGCAAACTTGGCGGATTGACAATTTCCTGTCTCGACACGTATTTAAACATTGCACGCACGAGTTCACAGGCCTCCTTGGACTCTATTGCTCTGGACGTGAGCGTGGGTTTCGACATCTTCTTCTTTGCTTGGCTTATCTTTTTCGCTGGCTTCTTCTCGGGGTTGACCTTCGTCTTTTCCGCACGACAGGCAACCATCATCTTCTTTGCAGCTGCAATATATGCTGCAATCTTGTCCTGCGTTGAAGGGCGCGACAGAAGATGCCGCGCCGGAGTAGAAGTCGTCGCCCTCACCGTCTTCATATGTGTGGTCTGCACGTCCGCATACGCGTGTTCCCCCTCCTCCCTGGTGTTCACAATACCTCTGTCGCCAAAATAGGCGTCAGTCTCACGCTCCCTGTACAAATAAGCCTTATGCTACGCTACCGTGAGGTGCCGGGCCTCCCCACGTTTGCATCCGAGCCGCGCAAAAATGCTTCCGACTCGCTGCGTGTTTCGCGAGAAGCAACCATCTTCTACCTCTCGGCTTTGTGCCAGCTAAAATCGAAACGAATGAGTGGCCGGAGGCTGGTCACAGCTGCGACAAATATGTGAACAGTTCTTGTGAAGAGTGCAGGGTCTTTGTGCTAGAATTTTGCCTAACCCTGTGCATTTCACATTCTTTAACCAGTCGTATAATACAGTGTTGGCAATAACGACGTTGCAACAGGTGAAGCAACGTGATTTACTTTTTACCACCCGTGGTAACGTTTTTACGCGTTTTTACACGTTTTTACGGATCTCGAACACAAGACAGAATCCTTCATCAGTTTATTTTGTGTTAGCGCGTCATGACGTCCCACGACAAGGAGCTGGCGCGTCTCCGGACGTGTAGTGGCAAGCTCATTTTGCTGGCTGGAATCTTGGGTGACGCCGCTGTAGCTCTGGCTCAGTGGCAATTCATGGCAAGGTGAATACGAATCACAGCAGCCGCTCAACCAAAACGAGACGATGTGCACCAACATCACGTTCGGACTGCCGTTCGACGCCGACAAGTACGAGGACGCTCTGCGCGTGAGCTTACTTAAGACGTACCCTGACTGCTGGAGGCCGTACGGAGATCGGTGTGAAGGGCCTCAATCTTAGTAGCAGCCACCGCACTCGTGTGGCCATCGCTTGTGCGGTGTATCAGGACGTCGGCATTTATCTGCTGGAAGCCGTTCTGTCTGCAGTGGACAGCCATGTGGGCACCAACATCTTCAAGGCGTGCTTAAAGGAGTCGCTGAAGGGCAAGCTGGTGCTGCTAGTGGCGCACTCGCTGAGCTTCGTGAGCCATTGCGACCAGGTCGCTGTGATTGCTGACGAAACAATCATCGAGCAAAGATCGTTCAAGAAGCTGATGATGGTGTCGAATAGTGAGAATGAAGAAGACAAGGAGGACATGACGTCAGCAGGGTGTTTAGAGAATAACTTGGCGCTTTCGAGTGATGAGCGATGAATTCCAATGATTCAAATGCTACATATACTTGGTAGCCAACGTTGGCAGCTTGTATTGAAAAAACTTATAAGAGCGCTCTTTACAACTTGGCACAGTTTACCTATATCTACGAGAGAGGAAGCTTTAGCGTCCGGTCAGCTTTTACGGCGATGCTGCTACAGCAGGCAGCTCCACCCAGCTTGAAAACAGCGTTTCTAGCGTAACCTGTTAACCTCTCAAACCCGTCAAGAGCTTTCCCTGCGGATACGATGGAATACTTCATCTGGAAGCTCTTGGCTTCGGTTAGCTACAGGAACTGGCTCCAGCTCTGGGTCGTAAACATACCATTCATCGTCACCGACGTTATTCACAATATTTTCTCCATCGTCTTCTAGATCGACGATGGCGTCCAACCAGAAGTCCACTGCTCCAACAGTCTCCATGTAGTCGACATCAGTAACGTCAGCCAGAGTGGACAGCGAGGTTGCAGGATCGGAAACTCCGTGCATCTGCTGTTTTGGTCTCTCTGCAGGGTTAACAGGCTTCTTCTGCCTTCTACACTCGCCGATATCACTTTCCCGACGATTGCGCTCGCGGACCTCATTTCGAATGATGCCGATGAGTCGAGCTTTATCAAACTTTAGCTTATTTCGCCGTGGTGTCTGTATCAATCCCAGCTCGCTAAAGCAGCGCTCGCATGTCGCAGTGTTCACTGCGACTGACAGAATCACTTTCGCTAGCTGAGGAAGTTTACTGCCCTTGACGTACCACGAATCTGTAACGTGGACCCAATAATCAATTACCCCATTCGGTTGAAGGACACCGGCCTGGTCAGTGAAGTCAGTGTGCTTTTTCGGGGTAAATTTGCCACGCAACCACTTGTCGACATCACCTACGAGTCCGTTGCTGTTGAGATCAACATAGCGGCGATAGTAATAGTCAGCAGCAGCGGAGACGCCGTCTACTGACATTAATATGACAGTTTTGTCGTGAGCTTGGATTAAGGCACGCGTATGGGTCACGTAGAGCGGGTGCAATGCGAAAGCGAGAAGCATCAGCGGTTGCTCACAGTTCGCCCATCGCTTCTCCACCACTGGGACTAGATGAGAAGCGTATGCACTGGCAACAAAGGCAGCATGTATTTTTCCAAAGCACCGCACGACGTCCGCCATTGTGTTGTCATCTTTTTGTAGTCGATAGGATGCTTCCGACAGCGGCCTGATGACACGCTCAGCATCGATTAAGTTTCTCCAGAACAGCGGGTCGCGAAATACATGTAGCGTTGTAGGGAATTCAACATCATATCGATATCCGTGGGCCAGATCTTCTAACGCCGATCTAACGCGAAGCAGGCTTGCAGAGCATGCCTGCATGCTATTCCAGCGGGTCTCACACAGCATAATAAAAGCCAAGGTTTCCCCATACATTACATAAACGCGCTCGTTCGCACGCACGAGCCACTTTGCCGATGAACTGTTTAAACTTGCCATCGCAGAAGCTGCCTGCTTCGTTACTGTCTTAAACACTGTCTTCAAAACGGCTTTAACCAAGTTGTTCACGTCATGGGCGAAGCACCGTAAAAACACAATATTTGGCCATCTTAAGGCCAGTATTCGTCTGGCCCTTGCGCATTGACCCGCATCGTCAGTAACGACGGCACCAATAATCCATCCTAGTACCAACGCTCTCATAAGTGATCCCTCCATCTGCTTGGCTATGGCAATGTCATGGTGAGCTGAGTCGACGGGTAGTAACTCAAACTGGACAACAATGCCAAACATGCAAAGTTGGCATGTAAGAAGGTGACGTCGAGCGACATTCTGGTATACGTCAGAAAGGTAATTCATCCGCCCGCCAGTATCCTCTTGCTTCTCTCACAGGCTCTCATTTGACGCAGTTTCTGCGCTTTCTGCATTAATTTTAAGAATACGACCACCGAGCTCTTTTCTTGTAGGTAGTTCATAGCGCGGCTGCATCCGTGCAAACAGCCTCTTGGTTGAATCGCGCTCGATGAAATAGTCTGGTAGCGGGCACTCAGCTTGAAACCCTAGAAGATCACGCTCAAACCTATGTTGCTCGTCCATAGACATATGAAATCACTCATCCGTTTTTGCCGTTTTGCTGCGGTGCTACTCGAAGATCCAATTGACGAGATGGACCGCACAGACGAAATTACAGGTAGGGTCGTAGCAACAGCCTCCGGTCGGTGGTATGGACAGCGCTTTAGATGACTACGATAAGCGTCGGCACGATCACGAATTTACTCCGGTGCTGCCACGTTGCCGGCGCTGTTGCCATGCGCGGCTTGGCACTTTTTGCAGACCCACCAGTTGTGCTTGTCGGATACGCTTCCATCCTTCTGGACAATGGGCACTTGGCTCTTGAAGAAATGACTACGTTCTTCGGAAGCTGGGGCAGGCATCGGCCAGAAACGGAAGGTAAGACGGGCTCAAAGTTATTGTATGAACGACCAGGAAGTTAGAGACTGTGATCCTGCGGCGAATAGCAAGCCACACTCTACGCTGCAAAGTTCCCTTAGATCAAAATAGGATCTTTTCTTATCTGCAGGAGGACACACACTACCACGAACAACCGAAATGGCTTACGAAACAACGCGTAATAAGTCCGTAAAAACGTTCTGACGGGGGTTATATCTTTACCGACTTCTTACCAACGTTTCAACGCGTATGAACGCTTTCAACGAAATTTCGTTTCTACGTCGGTTGCCAACACTGCAGTCTCACGCTCCCTGTTCAAATAAGCCTTATGCTAGGCTACCGTGAGGTGCCGGGCCTCCCCACGTTTGCATCCGAGCCGCGCAAAAATGCTTCCGACTCGCTGCGTGTTTCGCGAGAAGCAACCATCTTCTACCTCTCGGCTTTGTGCCAGCTAATCTCGAAACGAATGAGTGGCGGCTGGTCACAGCTGCGACAAATATGTGAACAGTTCTTGTGAAGAGTGCAGGGTCTTTGTGCTAGAATTTTGCCTAACCCTGTGCATTTCACATTCTTTAACCAGTCGTATAATACGACTCGTATTTACATAATGTGTGGTAAAATGTCATTTTGCAGTTTTTCAGCACATGTCACAGTACAACGTGTAAGTTTGGAGGGGGAACCCTAACTGGGTCGGTCTTTTTCTCTTACTTTAAAAAAACATTGGGATAGATAGCTAGATTTACTATAATTCTTTGCCGATGTAGTGTAATATGCTAATCAACTACTTGTAAACATGGTTCAGATGCACTGCATCAGCCTTTAAATTACTAAAACTGTAAGTTACTACACTTGTTTTAGTTACGCTAAAACACTTTTACAAATTCATTATTTTCTCGGCGTACTGAGTCACGATGATTCCTGCTTTCGTCCTGCGTGTATTTTCGTCCCTAGGGTTAAAACGAGAAATTACAGTAAGTGGCACCCGACGCAACGAAGAGGAGTATGTGTGTAAGCTCTTTCACTGCGTCATTTATCTATTAGTCATTTATGTTTACTTCGCTCTGTCAAATTATTGGAGATATCTTCAAAAAGGAGGTACTTTATTGGGTGGGCTTTCGACACTGCAGCTTGTGCGTAGATGATAAGACGTTGATCGGGTAAGACTAGCACAGCATCAACCGCAGGGAAAGGCATCAACAGAGGAAAATACATCATCAATTTATTCTCAATTCTAGATAACGCTTGGATAAACATTGATTTTGCATCAAATGGACCCAATCGCGACAAGGTGTTGCTGCTGCCATTGATCGGCTCGAACGGTCTTACTGTTAGCGCCCTAGAAGCGAGGCTTGGAGCAGGACTCTCTCGCGTCTCCTTCTTACGCCACGAGAGCAAATCTTCTGTTGGGATCTTTAACAAATAGTAAAGTTTGTCAGATTTAAAAAAAATTAAGCTCGAGCTAGTAATTGCCTCCACAACCAAGGATGAATATGCCAAACGAAACTCGTCGGGTTCGTTCTCCACGCGTTATAAATGTAGTGTAATGTGCTTTTCATGCAGTTCCTGTCATCAACGTGGCGATCCATGTGCTCCAAACCATCGACAGTTTTTAGAGCAGCATTCTCGACATGTCGAACCAGCTTACCCAAATCTTCACTGGAAAACACTATTTTAGAAATACCCCCCGCAAGATTGAATATATGTAGCCACTCGTTGTGGTCCTTCAAACTTAATGCATCGTCCACGCCCTGGCACTCCGTTTTTTGGGCTACGAATTAAAGTATAGTGTAAAACGTATAAGTTTATCGTGTGTCCTTATGATGTGTTTTCAAATCTTTGAAATGAACTTCTTTTGTTTTTTCGAAACCGTTGCAGGCCAGGATTATTTACATGGAAGCGCACATGCTATTAATCATGTCCTCGTCCATGATTAAAATTAAATACATTACCGCTCTCCTATTTCCGAAATGAATATATCGAAAGCATTCATTTTATTTTGTGCCGCCTCCAGATAAGATGCCCCAGGACGCGGTTACCGCTAATGCAACCGGCACTCGCGGACGCGCCGACGAACGTCGGCTCCTGCCCCGATACCGAGGCTCGGACCTTTCCAATACGCAGTGGGGAGGCCAAGTGGCGCCACCTGAACTCCTGGTTGGAGGCGGCGATAGCCCTTTGAATGGTGGAGAGAGCAGTGACTGCGAAATGGATGAATCGGAAGGTCATGCGAGTGCTGGAGAGGCGGAGAAATATGTAGGGGCTGGACGTCCGTCGGAAACAGATGGAACGGATGATGATGACGCTGCAATTACGTCTGTGGACCCGCCGGTGAAGTATCACGGCAGTTGGAAAGCTTGGCAAGAATATTTTGAGGACTACTGGCAACGGACGCTGCAAGTAATACCAGTCAAATATATCATGTCCAGAGCACAACGCAACAAGAGGCTCAAGAAGAAGAAGAAGGGTGAAGACGAGTCCCAGTTGGTGCCCGACGGCTACGACCCGTACCAGCGGACGTATATTTGCACTCATGGATGGAAGAAAAGGAAGTCCCGCAGCGAAGGAAGTCGTCCTAGACAGCATATCCGTCTTACGAATTGCCCGTTTCGTTTCGTGGTACAGTGGAATCTCGCTCGTGGAGAATTACAGGTCAAGAATAGTTTTTTTTGGCACAATCACCAAGTTTTTCCTGCAGCCTTCGCTACGTATCCTGCTTCTCGTGTGGTGATGAATCCGCTCGTTGGTGCTCGGGTCGAGGGAAGGCTGGCTGTTAGCGCAAAAGGGTCCAGATTTTCTGATTACTGACTGGAGCATGACGAGAATGTCATCCAGTGCGACGTGGACAATCTGGTGCGCCACCATGCGTCTGTTTCAAGTGCAGACGATAATGACGCTACCGCACGGAAGATTGCGGTTTTCGCGGCAGCTAGCCCAGAAAACGTGTCGTCTGTTGTGGAGACGACCTGTGGTGAGACGGGGGTTATTTCGTTAGCTTCGGATCATATGCGTCGTATGTACACCCACTTCAGCGAGATTCCGCTAGTCGATTGCAGCCACAAGACGAATCGGTACGTCCTTTTTAAACGTCCAGGATAACAAGGGTTCTAACCAGGATTCTCCAATTTTTTTAGATACAGCTACCAGCTCCTCGCATTCATGGCAATGAACGAATTCGGCGAGGGTGCAGTCATTCAGCACTCGCTGATAGAGGCACACTGAGATTGGCACATGGAAAGGGCGATTGGTCACTTCAAGCGCTCTCATCCTACACTAATTCAGTGTCTACGGGTCATTGTCGTTGATAAGGACCTGAACGAGATTCGCGTGTTGGAATCAAACTTTCCAGACGCCGGAATCTCTCATTTGTCACTTTCACGTGATCAAGTACCTGAAGGAAATGAGGTCGAAGCCAGAATTCGGGAAAGTTTCAGCTGAAGATGCAGGTCAGATCGACGGAGCCATTCACAAGATGGTATACACTGCCTGTAAAGGTTTTACGAGACTGCGCATGCATCTCTCAAGGGAATCTGTGAGCGATTGAGTCTTACTGGATTTTACGAATACTTCAAGAAGAATGGGATACGTGCCAAGATAGTTGGGTCTAATATTTACGAGCAAAGATGCCACACTTTAAGAATCATACCAATAATCGTTTAGAGAGTTTCTTTGGAAAGTTGAAATAAGACGTGGATGAATCTACGAGCATGGCGATGTGCGTGAAAGCGTTGGTCGTC